CACATATTTTCAATCTAGCTCAAATCTAGGTGAGCTTTGGCCACTCTGGTAGGTTTAGGCTGCAGATAAGTTACTAGGTACACTTAGTTTCTAGGTCTTCTTAGCTATATGTCTGAGTTCTTATTCTTAGCACTATGCTTAAAATATAAAACCTTTTTCAGTCATGTAAAAAATTTTCATTAAGTTTAATAAGGATAAGAGCAAGGTCTCACCTTAAATATTAAAAAAAAAAAAATAATTACAATATTTAGAAAATAATTTGATATATCGCTTTAATATATCATTTTAATATATCACTTTGATACATTGCTTGATACATCGCTTTGGTACATCATTTTGATTACTTTAATCAATATTATAAAATCGCCTTTGTTAATTAAATAAAAAATAAATATTGATTCATTTATTAATAGCAAACAATTACATTTTAATAAAATACTTTAATTGCTTTGATACATTGCTTTGATCAATATTATAATTAACAAACAATTAAATTTTAATAAAATACTTTAATTCTTTGATACATCACTTTGACACATCTATCGCTTTGATACATCGCTTTGATTAATATTATAATTAACTTAATTTTATCATTTTAAGGTATTAACAAATATTCCTGCATTTAGTTATGTTTTATCTAAACAAAAGCTATTTTATATAAATAGTTACTTGGGGTATATATACTAATATTAAACTTACAATCGCTAAAATTTTAAAAAGAACTTATTGTTTATAAAAAAAACTTATCTAATCTTACTAAGAATTATATATAGAATGCTAATATAGAGCGAATATTTTATTTTATATGCTTATTAAAAATTTTTAATAGAACGATAGTATCTATAATAAAAAGGTATTTTTAACGAAGATTTTTACACAATTGGCATTTGTATAAACCAAAAAACTCTCTATAGCATTAAAATAGAACTTATTTTTATTAAACTTAAGCAAATTTTAAATCTCTATCTTGAAAAATAAAGGAGAAATAACAATTTGAAAAATACATATGTATTTTACTATATGTATTTCGGAAAAATTATAGGTTATGTAAAAAATTTTATACCGATTTTAATACATGATCTTCAATATATTTGTAAATCCTATGACATTGCATACCCCAATCCCTCACATATTACATATGATCGTACTGGTATAAATTTTAAACTAAAAATTCATCTAAAAAATGCAGAAACCAAGTATTCAAGTGCTGCGTTATGATTCACTTTTGCTAAAAAAAGTAAATGAAACGGACTATTATCGAGTTTGTGAAAGTTTCTTATGTGCTGTGAAACTGTTTTAAATCCAGTAGGGAAAAGTTCATTACAAATATTGCACTCGAAGACCGGCTTTTCCCGAAGCCTCCTTAACGCCCCACCCACCTCAAGAAAATCTGGTGGTGGGACGACCTTATCTTCTTCAAGGTTTTTAGCTTCGTTTCTGAGAGCTGATAAAAATTGGGTTGGGAAATGTCCATCCGGTGGAATTATTGGGGTTATGAAACTTGGACATAGGGGCAAATACTTATATAGTCTTTCCCGAATGCATATAACTCCATCACCATCCTCTGAGGCATATGTTAATTCTTTTAGCCATTTAATGATAATTTTTTGGCTTGCGATCGTATTTTTATTAGGAACCTGTGTAGGAGTAATATTATAATTAACTTTTTCGGCGATTTCGGAAAGTTTATCTTTATAATCTTGCTGATTATCATGTACTAAAAAAGGATTATTTTTGATTTCAATCTTCAATTTCTCGTATTGAGAATCCCCTTGCATTTTCAAAAAAGTTGCTTTATCAATTCCAATTTCATAGTGAAATCTTGAAAAAAGTCCAAGGTAGATTAGACGTAAATTAAACATCCATTGTCCATAATTTTGGACTTCTTCATATTTCTCTTCGGCATCTTCTCTTAAGCTGTTTAACGCGCATCGCTTATTATCATCATCAGCATTCATTAAAAACGCGATAGTATTCTGAACATGATCGATCCAATAATGTGGAGGTTCTGGTATATCTATGCTTGGTGTTACTGGTACAATAAATTCAAGAGCTCTACTATCGATAGAATCAGAACTATCAAATATTATTAATAAAATTTTATTCGGATTCAAATATAATAAAATATATGTAAAATAGTAAATTAATTTACCTAACAACTCTTGGAGCTATACAGTCCTCACAATAGCGAACACCAGGAATCCAATATATAGTCAACGGTTTCTCTTTAGTTTTACAAGACTGACAACCCTTCTCAAAGGTTAATAGCCTCGCAAAGCCTTGTTGACTAATTCCAGACGGTGGTTCCCTATCTTTAAAAGCTGTAAACCTAATTCTGGAATTTCTCCAAATTTCCACTGCTGATGGATTGATACTTTCGTCTAAAATATTTTTGAAACCTTTGCACGTGCATACCATCGCAAGAAGTTCTGATGGCTGCAAATTATAACAGATGAGTTCTTTTAGGTCATACATTTTTTTTTTGTAATATCGTTATACGCGTATACGTGTTATAAAAATTGTTTTATAGTTGCAGGAGCGCAGCCACCTATTAAGTGAAAATTGCAGTTTTACCATAATGCGAGCTTATTTTTTAAAAATTTCTATTTTTGTTAATTTCGGCCAGAAATTAGTAAACAATTATGTAATGCGGACCAAAATTTTAAAGATCCTCGGCCGTTAGCCAATCAAAATCGAGGATCTGCCGCGCATTTTTTGTGCGGCACCTAGGGTAAATTCGAATATTAGTTTAAAGGTTATTTATTAATTAATTGAGTTAGTAGTGTAAAGAAATGCTTACTTGTAATATATATTTGTATCACAGTTAAAATATTTTTTTATGAAGGTCTGTGATATTTTAGTGGGTATATACGTAATATAAATTTTATTATGTTAAGGCGGTTAACTTCTACATATTAATATATGTTATCATAAATTTATATCGCTATTGATTTTATCAATTAAATAGCATTTATACAAAATGGAAAGTAATTGTTTTATTAAATATAGAAAATTTGATATTATAAATTAAAAATTTAAGTACAAATTAAAAGTCTAACATGTGTTTAGTTAATGTTAGCTTTATTATTATTAAATAAAAAAGCAAGATGCTTTTAAAATTTTTTTTTTCTTTTTTGTTAAATATAGTATTTAATTACAATTATATAAGTCTTTATTTACAAAGTTATTAAATGAGGTTTGAATAAATATGCAATTGTTACTATATTTTTCTAAAAATAAACTACCTTCTAAAATAAGCTACCCTTCTCTTTTGAGCAAAAAACCTAAAAATCTCTTACTTAAAAATAAGCTACCTTCAAATTTTCAAAACTTTTTTAACAGTTGCTATATATAAAAGTCAAAATTGTACAAAGTAAAAATATATTTGGCACTTAATAAAAGTTGTTCAGAATATAAAATTACATATATTATCATAAGCCTATTTAAAAGCAAAGAGATAGAGGTCTTAACAAGTATAGACACAACAGATGATGGTATAGATCAAGAAGAAGTAATATCCCCTTTAGTATGGCAAATCTTCTACAACCCTCTGCTAAGGGAGCTGATGGAAATCAAGTGATTTCCATCTTTTAAGAGGCTACCCACCCACCCATATCTAATACTTTATTAGCCAATCAAATTGCATAAAAAATTTATATATTAATTAATAAAAAATTTCAATGTCATATAACTTTTGACCTACTGAACCAATTTGAATGATTTAACTATCAAAATGATCCTCTCAATGACCTGATTCTAACAAGCCTAAAATCATCAAAATCCAATTACTAAATTCTGAGATCGATATGGATTTGTATACTATGTACTATATATTACTATATATAGTATTATATAGTATATAGTATATAAATCTATATCGATCTCAGGATATAGTAATTGGATTTTGATGATTTTAGGCTTGTTAGAATCAGGTCATTGAGAGGATCATTTTGGTAGTTAAATCATCCAAATTGGTTTAGTAGGTCAAAAATTATTTAATATTTAATTTATATATAAATTTATAATAAAATTTTGGCCGGAATTTGATAATTCCAGCCAGAATTACACCTGACACTTTGGCTGACTCACCCACCCACCAAAAAATTAGCTGATTTCTATCAGCTCCCTAACTGAAATACAAAAGAATTCTGAGCAAGTTTATAAGTTAGAAGTACAATAATTAAGCAATCTTAAAAAGAACCTAACTACTTAACAAAGTTTGAGGATTTCAGTTATTGCTTATGCAGATGACACCACATTCATAGCAAACAGTAAGCAGAAGCTAGAAGAAACAATTGAAATTACACAAGAATTTTACAAGTAAATGATATTAAAATAAACAGTAAAAAATCAAAGCTCTTGGTAATAGAAAGAGGAAAAAGAAAACAAGAGACGAGATGCATAGAAATTGAACTAGCAAAAAAAAAAGTGACAGAGAAAAAGTTAAGCGAACCAACAAGATTTTTGGGAGTATGGCTATCCAAAAAATCCAGCCAGTTTCATGTACTAGATATTACCAGAAAGGAGATTAACACAATAATAAAAGCTTTAACAAGGAAAAACACAACACTAGCATAGCTAATTTATATTAACAACAAAGTACTTTTACCAAGACTAAAGTATAGACTACAACATAGCATTCTTTTAAGAGAGCAGTGTAACAGGTTGCAGAGTCCTCTATTATAGTTGATAAAAAACAAGTCTGATCTGGCCATTATAACAGCCAATGCTATTTTAGTAGAGCTAAAAACAATCTGGCAAAATCAAATAGCGCACAATATAACAGAACTTAGAAAACAAATAAACAGCCAAGGTGATCTTAATAAAGCTGTATAGATCAGAATTCGGCAAATACAAATAGACTGCAAAAGCCCAAAATGCATTCTAGGTCTGGAACTAGCAAGATTGAGAAAAATACGTCTCAAACAAAATTTAATTTACAAAATTGTAACAGAGGCAAAACAAATAAATCTAAGTTTTAAATTAAAAGAGATAGAAAAAAGTCTCAAACTTACAGAAGAAGGTACTGAGATAGTAAACTTGCTAGAACCAAAACAGATCAAGAGTTTCATATAAGAGAAAAAGACAGGAATCTTTGTATTAGAACAATTATGTAATGAAACAGGTAGCAAATTACTCACATAGAAATAGATCAAACAATATAAACAATGCAAAGCTGCCAATAAAGTGCCTAGATAGTTCAGAAACATAGAGGAGAAGGTTCTAAAAAATGAAAAAAACTGTACAATCAAGCCCGACTTCAAAATCAAAGCGATAAACACTTTAAGCCTAAAAGTTTCATACTTGATGATAGATAATGACAAAAGAAAAAGAGAGTGGGTTTTGTTAAAAAATAGAAAGAACAAGTTAAAGATCGGAAAAATAAGTAAAAAGAAGGAGCACAAAACCTACGTAATAGAGTATTGGAAGATGATTCCAAATCTAGATGACAGTATGGTTAGATTCGAGAAGTGCTTGAGTTGTAAACAGAATATAAATAAAAACACAATACTGGAAAGATGTCTAAACAAGAAAAAGCTAAAAAGTAAATCAGTTGTTATAAATCCAAACCTGGTCCAAAAAGTAGACTCCCAAGTACACATGCGGGAGCTAGCAGTCCCTGTAAGCTGCCTAGTAGATATATACTTCAAATCAGAGATGCTCAAAAGTGATGATGATAAGAGTTATGAGGTTCTAGTAGAAAAAATTCCTATCTATTCAATAGAAAAAGAAATAATCGATCAAGCTCTCGAAGGACAACAAATAAAAGAAAAGCTAAAACATCTAGTAACACAACTAAAACCATACAAAAAAATATTCTTTTATATCGATGGGTCTTTATTGAATCCAACAGAAAGCCCAGAAAGAAGGAAAATGAGAATTGGATAGGTAGCTGTTACAGAAAATGGAGCCAAGAAAAGTGAAAACTATATAGCAGAATTCAAAGGAGCTATAAAAGATTGGCCGTTGTCAACTAAAGCTGAACTAGATGCAATATAGTTAGCCTTATTAACTACACCAAACAAGGCTATAGTAAACATTTACACAGACAGTACAGCATCAATTTAGACAGTACAAGCAAGCCAAAATAAAACCAAGCCAAGCAATATAGTAAAAAGGAAAAATCTCTGTCTTTTAGAACAAATATTGAAAACAATCGAACTTAAAGAACTAAGAGTGTGGTTTAACAAAATCAAAGCATATACAGTAGCAGAGTGCAAGGTAATAAAAAGGCTAACAAACTTGCAAAAGAAGGAGTAAACAGTTTCTTACTTCTAAATCTAAAATGGCTCTAGAACAAGTAATCGATTACAGAGCTAAAATAGCAAGAGATTCGAGTAGACAATACAATGAGAAGTTTCATTACACAGCTTATTGATTTAAGTATTGATGCTGAATGAAAAGATCTAAAAAGTATAAATAAATGAGCTAAAACAAAAACAAAGTAGACTGAAGAGAGGTTTGGAAAGATATAAGCAAAGTAAAGGATAGAAAATGTACAAGCTCTTAAGCTTACAAAGCACAAAGATTAAATTTTCAAAATCAAGCATCTTAATAGTTTACTTCCAACAATACAAATTCTAAAACAAAGAAAAAGAGATCTATATATAGATAATACTTGTAAGATTTGCTTCTGAGAATGTGAAACACAAGACCACTTAGCTGAATATACTGAGTTGTAATCAACTTGGAACAAGCTTAAAGAAGAAGGCTGCTTAGCTATCGTTAACAAGGCAGAGAAAGAAAAAGCAAACTTGAAGATATATAACGAACAAAAAATAGCAAAAATAGTATTCGGCAAAAGCCTTGAGAAAAAAATCTTAGCTAGAAAAAAACTAATAAGAGGTCTGGAAATAAAGCAAAGAGTCCAAAAAATTTGCTCCTTGTTAGAAAAAGAAGTGGAAAAGACTTTCAAAATCCTGCAAACCTTCATTGACAGCTTTTTAAAACACTTTCGCAAGCTTATTTGGAATCCTCGATGCAAAAAAGTTATAGAATAAGAAAAGAAAAAAGGCATAACAAAGAGAAAAAAAACAGAAAATGTTAAAAAAAGAAAGATTAAAGAAGCAGAGAAACAAGACAAAAAAAATAGGAACCTATTAAGCAGTACAAAAGAGAAAGATACCAGAAGAACCAAGATTAGCCGCAAAGAAGGAAAACTCGACATAGCCAAGGAAAGGAAAAGTCTAACCAGGAAATAGGTTACGTGGAGAACCAAACTAGCATGGTTCTCACTGGTTAAGCCGAAAGAGTTTTTTTAAGTATATTTGACATGGCAGATAATGACCAAGAAGGGTATCTAAATCAGTATGAAATTCTTAGAAAGTTAAGAATCCTGAGAGAAATAAATCATTGTTTTGGCAGGTCGCACTAGATAAATACTTGAAAAGTCTTTTTTAGATTAGAGCAATATACTATAAAAACAATTTATATATATACAGTATAATAGTCAAATAGTAATTTAAATAAATAAA